TAACTAAGTCTGTATCTTTTTATTTTACCAATAAAGACTCATGAGGCAGAGAAATTATTCAAATGACCCTCTTCCTCAGTCTCCCTGTCAGAAAGAGACTGTGTCTGGAAATAAAACTCCTCCAACCGGATGTTCCTCCCTTCTACTTCCTGTGCCTCTCCTTCTTTGACCTCCCAGACTTCCCCTCACACTTGATGGTTAATTCCAGTCACTGGTTGCTTGCTCTGCCTCCTGACCTAGGGTTAGTTTTATTTAATTGATGCAATCTTGCTGTTCACAGTGTGATCCTGCAACAGCTTTAGTTATAATTTTTTTGAGATATAGTCTTGATATATATATGTAATGGTAAAAGTAAAATGGCACCACCATTCCCCAAGTGGTCTTCCACAAGGGGCAACCAGTCCCAGGCAGGGAGCCGAACAGTGGGTGAGAGACCTTGGTGGGGTCCCCAGTCCCATGAGGAGCCGCAGCCACGGTAGGTGAGAGACAGATGAATAGGCACAGTGTGAGGTTGGATATTTAGTAGGTTATGGAAGGGAAGGGGAGAGGGAGGGAGAAGGGGGACAAGGAAAGAAATGGGGGGGAGAGGATAGGAGCCACGGCAGCAGCTACCTCTTCAAGAGAGAGATGGAAAGGAAGGGAAGCTCAGGCTGGAAGCCAAAGATCAGCTAGCCTCAGCCCTCAGTGGGAGGAAGTGGGGGGAGTGGGCGGGGCCTGTCCCTTAAAGGGACAGGACATACCATTATCATATAGGCCTGGCTGTCCTTAAGTTTGTCAACATCCCACTGCCTCAATCTACTAAGAACTGAGGTTACAGGCATGTGCCTCCATGCTTGGTATTTATAAATTAAAAAAAAAATTTTTTTTTGAGATAGAATCTAACTGTGGGGCCTGGAACTTATTTATGTAGATCAGTTTGGCCTTGAACACACAGAGATCTACCTGTCTCTTCTTTCTGAGTGTGGAGATTAAAGGCAGGTGTTTGACAGTTGTAACTGCTGAAATCAGTTACTTGCAGCTTTTTGTTCCTTTCACTAATAACTTAAATATGGGCTGGTGAGATTACTCAGTGGGTGGAGATGCTTTCCATTAAGCCTGACCTGAGCTTGATTCCAGGGTCCACTTGGTAGAAGGAGAGAGCCCACTCATACAAATTGTCCTTTGATTCTTCCCGTGTCATACATGGGATCATGTATATTCACTTATACACACACACACAATAAATAAATACAACTTTAAAGTTAAACATAAATCTTTGTTGTATGTTTATTCTAAACTCATACAAAAACTGTGCTGTTAACCTTTGGAATGTGTGCTAGTTACTTGTTGCTTCATCCAGATTTCCAGTAAGAAGAAATGCTAGGGAAGGAATGGCTTACTGTGGCTCACAGTTTGAAGGAGGTACAGTCCACCACAATAGAGAAGGCAGGCCAGGAGCATGAGACAGTTTGCCACACTACATCCACAGTCAGGAGGTACAGCATGAACAGAAAGTGGAGCCAGTCTCAAGGTCCACCCCCAGTGACCCACTTCCTCTAGCCAGACTCCACCTCCTAAAGGTCCCTGCAACCTCTGCAGAAGTGCCCCCTGCTGGGAACTAAGGGTACAATCACCTGAGCCTGTGAAGGATATTTCACATCACATGAGTTCTCTGGGACTTTAGATGGCTCTCGCTGATGGTAAATAGTCAACACTGGCCTTAGGGACAGGGCACTGACTCCCTTAGCATAGGCATATGGGATTTGCTGGAGGCCAGTGTGAGCTCTGACTTGGCAGATGGGAACAGGCAGGAGGCCTTCTCTGCAGCAAGGAATATAAGTGAGGCCAGGTACACAAACAGTCTCCTCACCAGATACTGCTATGTATAAATCTGTTGAGGGAAGAGCGGTCTACAAGCTGGCCACCATCCAGGATACACAGAGCAGGCTTGGTTGTAGTGGAAAGCTAGAGAGTTTGGGGTGCAGGACCCCACATTCTGGTTGAAAACTGAAGCAAGATTCGTGGCTTTATCTTTCAGATCCAGACTGTGGGTCCTGGGGACCTGTGATGAGTTCAAGGTGCTTCCTAGAATCCCCCAGTGAGGGCCTGCGTCTGTAGCTCAGTTGTAGAACTAGAGTCATGGGTTCGACCCCCAGTACCATTAAAGAAAAACAAAGCAAGCTGGGTTGTGGCAGCACACACCTTTAATCCCAACGTTTAGGCAGAGGCAGACAGATCTCTGTGAATTCAAAGTCATCCTGGTCTACAGAGCGAGTTCCAGGACAACCATAGCTACACAGAGAAACCTAGTCTCAAAAAAAAAAAAAAAAAAAAAAAAAAAAACAAAAAAAAAAAAAAAAAAAAAAAAAAAAAAAAACAAAAAACAAAAACCAAAACCAAACAAATAAACAAAACCAAAACTAAAACCAAACAAAATCCAAAAAAAGTCAAATGAATAAATAACAATGAAATCTAAAGGGAAATAACTGTTTTTGCAGTGTGGATTTTAATTACAATTTTTAAGAGTTTAAGAAAAATTAAGTCAAGCCCTAAAGTTCTCAGCTGAGGACTCCAGTCTACCTAAGGTGTCTTGTTTGTGGGTTGGGAACTGGGCCGAGCATCCAGCTCTGATTGATGTTCAACACATCCAATTTAACCAGGACCAGACTATAAGAACCCGAGTGAACCACAATGAGGCCTGAGCAGTGTAGGGCGGGTCCTGGCCTTGGGCTCACGGCTACCCTCAGCCAGTTGCTTCTGTGGCTTTTTGGGAGTTAATGTGACACTGGAGATTTTGCCAAGATTCCTGGGCTCCACCTCCATCTGCCTGGTAGGTCGGCTGGGCTTGGCCTGGCTCCAGGGAGCTCGGGCACACTTCCCTGGCCCCGCAGTTGGAGAGGGCACCTTAGCCAGGGTCCCGCACACTTTCAGTGGGCTCCGAGGACCGGGCCAGCTCCATGTGGAAGATCTCCTAGCTGTGGCTGCGTGGCTAATCCACCTTCACAGCCCCAGCAGTCAGATTAGAGTCCCTCTGGAAGCAGCTTCAAGGAATACGCCAGGAACACAGGTGAGAGGACTTGAGAGCTGTGGGGACTCGGGGGTGACAGTCTGTCTCCAATGACAGCGTGCGTCTCAGCAATCGTGACCTTTCCTTGGATTCCAGGGTTACTTGAAGTTGTTCCCAGGTAGTGGAGGTGGGAGGTGGATCAGGGATGTGCTCTTTATTAACTTCTTCATCTTCAGGACTCAAAGATTAGCACCACCTCCTCCAGAAAGCCTTCCCAGGCCACAAGAAACCCATTCTCTCTGCCCTCAAAGGACACTATACTCTGTAGGTGATTATTTTCTTATATTGTAAATGTTTGAACCTGCAGCAAACCCTCCAAATCTACACCTATAGCTCTAGATTTTAGAATCCCTTGGTTGGGGGAGGTCCTCCCCCAGGGATTCACTCACCCTTATATAAATGATCCTGGTAGTGTTTGGGGTGCCTGATAGTGATAGGGCAAAATTCCACCCCTTGTTTCCCATGGCTTGCTCACTTTGTCATCTTATACATACCATGACCACCTGCCCAGGGGTGACACCGCCCACGGGGAGCTGAGCCTTTCCAAATCAACCATCACTCAAACATACACACCACAGGCTTGCCCACGGGCCAACCCGATGGGGGCATGTTCTCAGCCGAGGTTCCCTCTTCTCAAAAGGCTGGAAACTAACCAGCATGGAGGTGTTGGGGAGAGTCATCAGACCCTCACCCCAGAGTCCAGCCAAACCTCCTTCCTGCCCTCCCACACCGGCAGCAGAGCGTGCGCTCTTGGGGCATGCTTGGTTCTACGATGGTAGAAGATTGACGTGGGGACCCTATCTATGCAGTTTGGAGACTTTATCACCCATGCTAATGAAGCAGATGTTTGTGGGTCAACCCCTTGCCCTCCTGTAAGTAACCCTAATAAGTTCACTAGTTCATCAAGATAAACTTGGGTGGAATTATTCCTTTGGTCTGGGGTGAACAAAAGTTTGATTGTCTCAGGACTGATCTTCAGAGGGGTCACATGCAGATCCACATGGCTGCTTTGATTTCAAATTGGTAACACCCCATCCAGCAGGTCTCCCAATCAGACCCTGTTTTCTCCATTTCTTCTGTGTATTTGTATGTGTTCAGGTGTGTGCGCGCGCATGCGCTCGCATGGAGGCCAGAGGACAATCTCATATGCACCCCTCTCATTTCTTTATTTCGCGTGTGTTCTGAGTGTGTGGTGTGGGCATGCATCTCCCACCACACACGTGGAGGCCAGAAGACTGCTTGAAGCAATCAGTTCTCTTCTTCCACCATGTGGGTTCTGGGGAAGGAACTTGGGCCGTTAACTGGAGCCTTTTACCAGCTGAGCCTTCTCTTGAGCCCCACCTTGCTTTTTGAGACACAGTCTCTCGCTGACCTGGAACTCCTTCCCTAGGGTCGCTAGTCCATGAGCTTCAGGGATTCTCCTGTTTCCACCTCCTCCACGCTGGCATTACCAGCACACACCAGCATGCCTGGCTTTTTTTTTTTTTAACATAGCTTTTGGGAATTAAACTTGGATCTTTGTGTTTGCAAGGCAAGTGCTGTACCAAGTGACCCATCTCTCCAGCTCCCGTTTTCCCGTTCTTCTTCCAGTCCATCTGTTTTCCTTCTTTCCCAGGCTGGAGTTAATTTTTTATCTGTGCTATTCCATCCCTCATCACTATTAGTATCCTCATCCATTTTACTGCTGTTCGGAACCAGGAAGACTTAGGAAGGAGCCTACCAGTCAGGGAAGTAAAGGGGGCCCTCCACTCTGGGTGGAAGTTTCTGTGTCTCTCTGTTTACTGAGCTCATCTCCAACTATATTAAGCAACAAATCAGACACCTCGCAGCGCAAATGTTCATCTCCTACCCACAGATCGCGATGATCCACAGAGAAGATTCATGGCTTCCTTCTGGCATAATTTCTGGACGTTATTATGCCAGGCGAGTCTCTGTCTCTCTCTTGACTTTGGCTGTAGGATTACAAAACCTTCCTCTATTGCTCTGGCCTTAGCCCCCACTGTTCATTTCTCCCGGATGCAGCAACTGGCAGGGCGGGGAGAAGGTGAGTGGGGAGAGGTTCACCCAGGTACATGTTATGTATATGTTCATGTTCATGTGTATGTGGGGGCAAGAGGTCAACCTTGGGTGGCATTGTGTTATTTGTCAGATGCCATCCACCTCGTTCTATGAGACAGTGTCTCTCATTGGCTTGGAGCTAGGCTGGCTGGTCAGTGAGCCCCAGGGAGCCACTTGTCTCTGCTTCACGGGCTCTGGGATTACAAGTGCACACTATCACACCTGGATTTTTTTTAAAATGTGATTTCTGGGGACTGAACTTGGCCCTTCAGGTTTGTGTTTCAGGCACTTTAATCTTCTGAGTCCCTTTGCTGGCTGGACCCCTAAGAGAAACAATGTAAAGGATGGAAGGTTTTGGCTCATGGTTTTGGAGGGTTCATTTTGTGATGGATTGCTTTTTGGCTGTGGTGAGGCAGAGACATCAGGGTTGGGGTCATACAGGGGAATAAAACTGCTCACCTCACGGTGTCCTGGAAACAGCGAGTAAGAAAAGTAGATGTTTCAAATGCATGCCCTCTAATGACCTACTTCCTCTAAAAAGGTGAGCGTCCTCATGCTCTAAACACTTCTAAGAGCCCCACTTCTGTTTTGGAGACTGTGGTAGTGTCATTCGGTTGCTGTGATAAATAAGCCAAAGCTGCTTGGGGGGAATCTTTCATCTTATACTTTCAGGGCACAGCCCATCACTGAAAGAAATCAAGGTGGGAATCTGAAGGCAAGAACTATGGAGCCTTACAGGTTCATGCTCAGCTACCTTGGTTATACTGTTCTGGACCACTTACCTAAGGATGGTACCACCTGCAGTGGGCTGGACCCTCCTCCTACATCAATTAACAATCAAGACAACTCTCCTCGGGCATATCCACAGGCCAATCTGATCACTCAATCATTTCCTCTTAGAAGACTCTAGGCTGTATCAAGTTGGCAACTAAAGCTAACTATGATGGGGACCAAGCCTTCAACACATGAATTTTGGGAGGACATTTTGCGTATAAAAACCACGACATCACGTTTCCAGTGTCCCACCACCACCACTCTCTTAAATATTTACTACCCTCGCATAAGCTAAGTGGGGATGGGTGGCTTTCATCAATGTCTGGGTAGTGTGGTCAATAGACCTGATTCCTTCCAGTTCAGATTCAGCAATTTCAGTGCCTTCCAATTTTTATTTTTCTGACTTGGTCCCCTCGCCTCCACATTATGCAGATATTTCTCACTCTCTGCTGAGCTAGCTTCTTGGAGTTCTTTGAGTCCCTGGGATAAGTGGCACTTGGCTGATTTACAATTTGAGTGTAAACCGTTTGAACACTCGCTCCTCATATGGCGGTGCTGTTTCAGGAGGTTGTGGAATGTTTGGGATGTATTTTCTAGCTGGGATGTAGACTCCTAGGGATGGAGTTTGAAAGTCATATCCCAGCTCTGCTTCCAAACCCACCAAACTGTGAGCAAGCCAGAAACACCCATTGCCATGGACCCAGCTGTAACACCATGCCCTCCATTCTATGATGAACCAATGATTTCTTTCCTTCCTTAAGTTGCTTCTGCTAGGTGTTTTGTTAGAGAGATGATGAAAATAACCAAGATCACCATGAGTGGTCTTTACCTCCTGAGAAGAGGCTGATTTTCCAAGCCTGGTGTTATAGAATGGTCTCTTCCCTCCAGGTATAGCATACCGCCATCATGGAGTAGAGATTAACTTGACCCATGGCATTAACTTGAGTCATGGCAACTAGAGCAGAACAAGACAGTGATAGCCAGGTCTATGGTAATGGAAACAGAGCTTTTGACACTCCCTAGTAGGTAGAGGAGAGTCACGGAACCCTCACTTGGGATCCTAGTCATTACTCGGTCCTGCCCTCCAGAAGCTGCAAAGGATCCTGGGAGATGCTAGACTAGACAGGAAGCAGAACATTAACTGGATGAGGACTCTGTGTTGCAGCATCCACGAGGTCACCATTCATGCTAAAGTGGGAATTTTCAGTGGTACAGCTGTTTTGTCACATCTGTCCCTGTAAGTTATCCATCGCGTGTGCTCTGCAAATGAGTTCAGTAAACTCATCCAGTAAAGTTTTTCTGAGTTGGGTTTTGGTGCCTTACTCGGAGTGAATCGCAATTAGTTTTCATGGCTACCCAAGAGAGTCAGTATAACACTTGAGAAGGCAAGTGAGGGTCTAGTCTCAGCCTCCATGGCAACCTGTCTAGGCATTGAGCACAACATGGCATGGCCTCTGTCTCCTCTGGGCCTCTGGCTAGGTCTCTTAGTAGTGGTTCAGTGGTTCACAGTGGTCATCACAGTAGCATAGACAAACAGGTATTAAGGACTGGATATTTTCTTGTTGGCAATTGAAAACACTGCGTGTGTGTGCCTGCGTGTGTACACGCATGTGCACACATGTGCATCTGTGAGTAGATCAGAGGAGGGTGTCAAGTGTCTTCCTTGTTACTGTCCACTTGTCCCTTTGAGGAAATGTCTCTCTAAGTGTGGAGCAGGTGTGTCTCTGGTAGGATGGACAGCAGCAAGCCCTGGTGGTCCTCCTGTCTTTATCCCACTCAGTGTATGGGATATCCGAATTATAACCTAGCTTGTTATATGGGTGCTGGGATTTGAACCCCAGTCCTCAGACTTGCTCAGCAAGTACCCTTAACTGCTGAACCATCTTTGCAGACCCCTCTTGGTATCAATGAGCCATCTTTGCAGACCCCTCTTGTTATCAATGAACAGAAATAAACTTTAAAACTTGATTCTTGGGTTGTGGCAGTTTTGGCCTCACCTCTCTGTGCTTTCTAATTTTCTATGACACGTGTGTAATTGCATGTACATGGACAAGGCTTATGACCAACGAAAACAGAAATCAAGTCCAACCCCCAAGTAAACGAGTCCAAAAAGTTGGGCTGGTACAATGTATAGTAGACAGGGACCTATTAATTTCTTTTCTCATAGC